GTAGAAAAAAATATAATAGAACTGTAGGAAAATAAATGAGGGGAACATTTGAGTGCCAATAAGGAATAAGGCAGAGGGAGGAGATTTCTCTGTGGACACGTGTGCCAGCAGAGGCTGCCACGCTGCTGGTTCAGACAGCCACATGCTGATGCCAATTAATAAGTCAGTTTATTGTAACCATAAGGTGAAGGCAGTTTTACTAAAAGACCTTATTTCCAGAAGATTAGCTTTAGAAAAACACAACCAACGGGACTGAAATTTCTCCAGAGGTATGATATAATCAGAACGATTGTATAGGCTTAAAAGAATTCCATTTAGCCATGCTTGCAGCTGCCTCAGGATGGATCCAATATTGTGCACATGCCTTAGCCAAACTTCCCCCAAAAAGGGCTTTTTGGCACTCAACTTCAAGGCTTGTGCAAATTCAGGAATCAGAAACTTGCTCACAACTCTACCACTCTTGAATACATGTACTAAGGCAGCATTTGGTGTATCTGCATCAATACTGACCCACTGTAGGTCAGTGTGTGAGACTTGGGCTTCCTTCCTGCCAGCTGACCCTTTTGGTTTGACCATCAGGTACCCCAAAGTCACCTCCCCACCCAGAGCACATGGTCTCTGCAGGAGCACAAAGCTCAAAAGCAGTACGAAAAATTTACGTTCTGGATCTATTTAAGGAGAACCACCACACTTCACGAGGTAGTGTTCACAAGCCTGCTTGCCAAAAAAAGAGGCAATCCCTTTGAAACACCTGAACTCTGCCCTGCCCACAAGTTGTCTGAAGTCCAGATACCTGGCAGTAGGGGGAAGGACTGGATTTTGAGCACTTTTTATTCATTGATTGTTCTGCTCTAAGCCCATTTTTAAGGCAATCTAAAAGACCACAAGTGTATCAAAGCATTCAAGAGCTGAAGGAAGCCAGGTCAGTTCTTTTGACTGCACTTTCCTGCTCCAGGATGTACCTGATCCCACATGGATAACCAAAGTAGGAATTCCTGAATGCCATAACATACACAGACACCAAATCATGAGCAGGACCAAAGAGCCCCTAAATGAAAACTGCTGCAGCTCTAGGCATGGGGGCTGGGAAAAGTTGGCAGCTGAAGCTTTCCAAGGGAGGGGGCAGGGAGAAATGGGCTGAGTATTCATTATGAACACTCGGAAAAATGGACTCCATGCACTCTAAAGACTCCTTTTCACCTAAATCATAATCTGAAAGCTTGGGGTTTAAAAGTATTTATATTTTAGCCTACGACAAACTCCTGCAACAAAAGAAGTGTTGGCTGCAATGTGAGACTTGGCAGAACCACAAGGAACTGAACAGGGGTCTCCTAATGCAAAGTGTTCAGCAACCCCCAGCAACAGACACAGAGCACAACAGCAGAGAAGAGGGAAATTGGGGAATGCAGGCAGAAAGGCAGAGACAAGAAAAACCAGAGAGCAGAAACTCTGGGAGAGCATTAAACTCTCCAGGCTAGCAGGGCACTCACCTCACAGTGAATGTGCACAAGTTCAGTATTGGAGTTTGATCCTCTCTACAAATCCACTGTCAGGAGCAAAACGATGAAGGGTGCACCAAAACTGCAACCCAAAAGGAGTCTCCAATTACACCTTATCCTGCCTTATCTCACCCAGGGTGGGTGTAAGAGAGTTTCATCCCAAATTGTCATGTTCATTATGCAGCAGGCTGAGCAGGCAAAACAATTCACGTGGGAAACTGTCCCCAGAGATTTCACCACTATCAGCTTTCAAGCTGGAACACAGCAGTCACTCACACACCTACCTGTAGGTCTGCAGACTTGTGCTTGAAGAACCTCACTGCATCCTCCAAGGGATTAGGAAAGCAAACGTATTTTGGGATCCCTAAAGCCTTCTTTATGCAAGGCAGTGAGTTTAGATAATGGTTTAGCCAAACAGGCACAGGCTGATTCAGTTTGAATAAGCCCCTTAGGAGGTACAGTGAAATCAAATCAGAACAATTTAAGCTCAAGTTACCAAAGCCAAAGTAAAAGCACTTCAACCGAGGAAAAGAGTCGTAATCTTTAAATTAAATTCTGAACTGATTTTGTCACACAGTTTCACACACAAGATGTTAACAGGCTGCCTCTTCAGAGACATGCTTAACACCAGCTTTTCCATAAAAGAGAAACCTACAGCAGCAGCTCTTTACCTTCTTCTGCTCCCCAAGCTCAGAGGAGCATCCTACATTCACCCAATGCTTCTCAATTGGCCTCTGTGGTCTCTTATGCTGCACCTCCAGTTACCCAATTAGTGCCTTGTTAATGAACATCTGCCATGTATTTATTCCTGGCTGTGGCAGTACTTTTAACCTGTAATGCCCAGTGGTCCCTACATCCTTCTCAGAAGCTTTGTGCACAGGCTTCAACAAGAAAAATGCTATTTGTGTAAAACCGGAGTGGTTTTCAGGGCTATTAAACACTGGCACTTTTTGCCTCTCTGCTCATGGACTGTTGAGTGTTTTGAAAGCAAGAGGGGATGGAAGCAGAAAAGGAGATACTTTGTGGGACAGATGAGTTTTGGGAGGATGGGCCACACTCGGTGCCTTGTGTGACTGCACCCAACAGTATTTAATAGGAATCAGGGACTGCTGGGAGCACCAACCCTTCTGATCTTTGCAATAGGTATTTCCTGCAAGCTTCTGATTTTTACCTGTGCCTGTCCCACTATCAAAACCACAGATTCCCACTGCAAGGGGAGATTACATGACTCAGATCACTCCAGTGTCAGGCAGAAGGGTGTTGAACACAACGGGGATAAATGCTCTTATTACAACAGAGAGTCATCTTTTCCAATGATCATCTTCAGTGTAGTGGCAGGATTTCCTCGACTGAGTAAGTGTTATTCAGCAAGTTAAGGATGACAGGATTAGGGCAGAGGTTTGAAACAATAATTGCAGTTTGTTCTTCTGTAGTACCTTTCATCTGTGAAATTCACAACAATGCAATAATCCTTCGAATAGCTTTTGTAAGGTAGGAAATATTATGACTCCTGTTTTTCAGCTGAGGAAGCTGAGAGGGAATATGATGATGCAGAGAATCATGGGCAGAGGCAGAATTGGGACTCAGCTCTTCTGACTCATTTTTTGTAGTTCTGAGAGCCTGGACACACCAGTTGGTGTGGCCACCCTGCTCCTCACTCCCAGGAATGTCAGTGCCTGCAGGGCTTTTGGATCTTCAGTGTTCCCTCTTCATCTGGAGAGGGGTGAGCAGAGCCCCCTGACTGGGAAGCCAGGAGCCAGGATGTCTACAAGCCCCAAAAGGCACAGCACTGTGCTGTTTGAAGGGAAGACAGGAAAGAACTGAGCAACCTAAGACCTAAAGGATCTTGTATATGTTCATCTGCCAAGAGGAGTTTTGATTGTGATCTGAATGGTGCTCTGGAGTCAGCCAATATCCAGTGGAGGGTCCAGAGTAGATTTAAATAAAGTTATTCCAGATTGGATGTTCTCAATCCAGTGAAGCAGAGATGAAGTGCTTCCACTGCAATGGACAGGAAGGGCATGAAGAGCCCACAAAAATCTTCTGTCTGACTATGATGTGGCTTACCAGGAGGGAGCAAAAAGCTTTATTTGGAGGAGCTGGAGACTGGGATACAGTGGGCTAAGGTTTATATATAAGGAAAGAAGGAGAGCAAAGGCCAAAACTGTTGTGTGAGAGAAAGACATGACCACAGAATTTGGGAATGGAAAAGAAACTGCACAGCCAACATGGCTACATATCTTTGGCCATAGTTAAAAATGTTCCTTTGGAAATTACCTGCATCTGAATGGTTTTGTTGGACATTCAGTGTGAGGTGAAGACCCAGCACCTGCTGTGAACACAGCGGTTTGCACAGGTAAGCAAGGTTGTGAACAGTGTGTGTTACTGAGCTGGCAGTTTAAACCAACAGACACTGGAACATGCCAGACTTCAGCTGGCCAAAGCCCTAAATGATTCCTCTGTGTTTCCTTACTTTTCCTCCTGCCCCCTCACAAAGATTGGAGAGAATGGCAGAGAGATCCTCTAACCAAACAGTAACACCTTCAAACATCTTGATCTGTAAATGACAATGAGTAATAAATAGATTTCACTAAAACTATTTCAGGGGTGTGAGTGAATTGTATTGAGCTGTCCGCTCACTGTGGCTGCAGCCAAAGAACAAAGCTCCTGATTCACACAAGTGCTGAGAACCTGCTGCTCCAGTTGAAGTGGCTGGGAGAGGCAGGCTGTCATCACGTCTGGCAGTCAGAGCGTGTGTGACTCAGGCTGGGCTCTCAAATCAGCAGTCTCTATGCATTAACTTGGCTGGGGCTGGCACTGGGGGGAATTTGTGCTGAATGAATAGCACATTGCAAGACTCCCAACCCTGTGGGAAGTCCGACCTGCTCTTCAAAAATCATGTTTCTTACCAGGTCTTTACCAACGAGGGTTTGATACATGCAGTGTTCAATGATCTTTAATTGAAATGAGTTCTTCAACTTCTATAGGCCCCTCATGCCTGGATTAAGTGTTTGTACACATCCCTCCCAGGGCAGGAAGATTCCAATCCTACCTGCTCTCCACTGGGCTAAGATTTCCTAGCTTTAAATGAACAAATGTTGGCAATGATGCAAGCAAGGCTTAGCGTGTAGTGGGGGAGGGAGAAATATCATCCTGGAAAAGGTTCAGTGTTTGTTTTTAAATCCCAGAAGAAACATACAAATGTGATGTATCTGGGATTTAGGGAAAAAGAAAAAACAGAACAGCACGTTAGGAACCACCCAGAAACAGCACTGTGTCAGGGATCAGCTGCTCTTTAGAAGCCTAAAAGATGCAGCAGGTCTCTCCTGGGTTCTTCCTCCCTTTTTCTGGAGCAGAGTGTAGCACACAGTGAGTCTGTTCTGCACTTCCTCTGTCTGCTGAGGGGCCCAAGCAAATAAAAATGCAAGCCGGGATTGCTAATTGTGCCAAAACATAAACATGGGCTCACACAGCTTGTGAGCTCCGTGTGTGATTACTCACCACTACAAACGAAAGCACGAGCTGCTTTGCAGCAGGCAGGTCAAAAGAACACGTCCAGGCTGTAGTGAAGTTCCTGGGAGCTTTTCCACAAGCAATAACGTCCTTTGGATCAGCTCTGCAGCACTGGGTTAGCTCTGCTCTCTGGTGCAACCTGGGACAAAATCACACACATTGGTCACAGCAGGAGCCACAGCCTCAGCTCCTGACACGCTGGAAACCACCCAAAGGGATCCCAGTAACACTGGGAGCAGCCACTTCCTTCCAATCTGAGCCATTTTCCTTTCCCTTTCATCACCATGGGAAGCTGCTCTCCCACAAACACCTCAGACAGGTGTCTTTTCCAGTGCACTTGGCACGTCCCCAAATTCAGGCTGTTTGGAAGCAAAGGGAATGAAAGATTTGGTGAGGGAGAAGCCTGCCAAGCCCCACACTTCTCCAGAGTTTGGACAGATGTCACATCCTGCTGATCCCAGCTGTGGAAGCCTGGCTGGGGGAGCAAGAAAGACCCACACAGATGATTCATAACCATCAAGTGAAATTTAATCCAAATTTTTGTCTGTGCAGAGCCCTGGGGATGTTCTGCAGTCCCAAAGGAATGCCCCTGCTCGTGCTGTTTCTGAAAGCTCCTTGCTATCAAAAACCCAGCCTGGCATGGAATCAGGTACTTGGCCAAATGGAGTTGATCATACTTTAAACTTGTTTAAAGAAACATCCAGGACACTTAGAGGCTAAGGGGTTGTTTAGGATTACACTTAATTTGTAGTCAAGGCTACATTTTTCAGATTCCAGAGAGATATTATGCAGAGCAGAGATTTTTATACATGCACATATATATGTTTTCTACACATATATAAATATATTTATATGTATTTTCTACATATATAGAAAAATATCAGGCAAAAAATCCCAAAGCAGATACTGAGAGGCAAAATATAAACTTATCTCCAACATGAAAGACACAAAAAACACCCTGCCACAAGGAAGTTCTATTAATAGCATTATACTGCTGATTTGCATTCTCCCATTTTATTTCATATCGTTTAAAAGACTGAAAACTTTAGGCTGAAACCATCTGGAAGAATCAGCACCAGGGATTTAACCGGATTTTTTTCCTAATATTGTTTGGGTGACTGTGAAGCTCTTCTGTGTTTTACCTCCCTGAGTTTAGAGGGCAGGGCTAATTCTCCAGATTTCTGCTGCAGGATTCCAGGCTGGAGGAGAAGGGCCTTGGCTTCACCATACCACAGTTTTTTTTCATCTTTTCCTTTCTCAACTGCCACTAGAATTTTTGGAAGCCAAATATCTTCCTGTGTTAAAGGGCCAGTGAATGACACACGTCTCCTTTGCTTCCCTCTTAACTGAAAGCAGACTGCGACGTGTGAGTTCAGAAATAACCCACTGCTCTCCAGAGAAGTGCTTAAACACATGTTTAACTGTAACTAGGCTGTTCGGCCTTGGTGAATTAAACACTTTTGTGAGTCAGGGATTTTTGAGTGACAATACGCTGAGAAAACCTCCTTGCCTTAGATACTCTCTCACCCAGGCGATGATTAAATGTTAAATGTGTTAAAATGGCTCAAACATCAGCATTAGAGAGCCACAGAATCACTTGGGTTGGGAAAGACCTCCGGGATCATCGAGTCCAACCTTTGATTGATCATCACTTTGTCAATTAAATCACGGCACGTCCAGTCACTCCTTGGACACCCCTGGGGACAGGGACTGTGCCACCTCCCTGGGCAGCTCCAGTGTTTATTTTTTCCCACGATCCAACATTTAACACACTTTCCATGAAGAAATTCCACGACGTCCAGCCTGAACCTCCCGTGGCACAGCTTGAGGACGACACCCTGCTAGAAGAGTCCAACGCGCACCTTACAGACATTATTACGGATATTACAGCCATTATTACAGCCGTGTGAATGGGCCTGCCCTTCTTATAACCGCTTTTTATCGCTGTCCATCCAGCGAGACCAGCTGCGGTCGTATCCCAACGACACCTAACCCCTTCCAGCCGAGCTCAACGGCCCCGGGGCCACGGGAGCAGCGCCGCGGCCACCCCACCGCGGTGGGTACGAGCCCGCCGCCCTCACGGGATGCCACACCGGCGGGGAGGCGGGCAGAGACAGCGGGCGCTGGGAGGGAAGAGAGAAAGCAACGAGGGGAGGGGAAAGAGAGAAAAAAAGGATGGGAGGGAAATGAAGGAGGGGAGGGAAGGGGCGGGCAGGACGCCGCGGGGATGGGCTCCGCCCGTGCGCGCACTCGCGCCGCTCTTTTGGCTCTCGGGCCGCGCCGTAGCGCTGCCGGGAGAGAGCGGCATTGTGCGGCCTCCGGCCCGCTCGGCGCAGGCGCCCGCCCGCATTCCCCGCCTGCCGGACCCGGACCCGCCGCCGCCGCCGCCGCGTCCCCCCCTCCCTCCCCTCCCGCGGCCGCGCTCCTCCCTCACCGCGGAGGAGGCGGCGGCCGGCCCTCCCTTTTTCCCCATCCCCATCCCCTCCGGTAAGTCACCGAGAGGGCGAGGCGATGGCTGCTCTCCCGCCTGGCTCCTCTCCTGGTCTCCCGCACCGCCCCCGGGGCTCTCCCGCACCGCCGTTGCCCGCGCGCGCCGCCGCCGCCTCCCCTCAGGGCAGAGCGCGCGCGGGGCCCGCCCGCTCCCATCCCCACCCCCCATCCCCTCACCGCGTGGGGACCCCTCGCTTCACCCCCTCCCCACACTCGGGGGTCCCCACAGCCTCGCCCCCACATTCCAGAGCCAGGGAAGGGCCGCTCGGGGCTTGGGGGGGCTCGGGGGGTGTTGTCGGGACCGCGGGGGATGCGCTGGGAGACCCCCGGGCACGGAGCCCAGGCGGGCCCGGCATTGCGCTGCGTGCTCCCCCGAGTTGGTGGATGAGTTCCAGATGAAAAGCAATCAGGATCTGCGTTAGGAAAGTTTAATTTATTCTTGTTGCCCCCCCAGATTGGCCGGGGAGTGTCCCTGACTTGGAGATAGGATGCAGTCCTGTGCCATGTGCTCTGGGATGACCCTCTGGAGCAGAGGAGCCGCTGTGCTCTTTTCCAGCCTAACCCAGTCTGGGATTTCCGAGATTGATGCTTCTCCCTTCTCAGCCCCCAAATTATTAGGCTAGCCCAGGTACACGAGGCCTTGAGGGGAGGCACGCCAGGAGATGAGCAAAGATTCAAAAGAGTGTCTATCCCAGATGTGGTTGTCCAGCTTCTTTATTCCATGAGATGAGGGGGAAAGAGAGGGAAAGAACAGGAAGGGTCATTGGCCTTATCTAGGCTCTGGACAGGGAGGGCTTTTCTGGCTCTCCTCCAGAAAACCCCATCAGAGCAGGAAGGAAGGACTGCTCTTATCTGATCAGAGTCACAGGGGTCCCTGGAAATGGGGAAAAGCATATCCCAAAACACCAGATCTCTGGGATTTCCCCACACCGAGCACAGCCGGCAGGCAACTGGTAGTGCCCTGCTGTGCAGCCTCTGGGGAGGGAGATGCTTGGAATGCCAGTGGATGGTGGGAGCAAACGCTCTCGTTCCCGAATGTGCTGCCACCAGCAAAAGGAGCTGCGATGTGGCAAATGCACTTAGCAGGCAAATCCTGACAGTGTGAGCTGGGGGTGATTCTGTTGCTGAGCTGAAATGTGCCTGAGCTGCAGTGGAGATTGGTTCCCTCTGCAGCATCAGCCCCGATTAGGGAATCCTGGCACTGCACTCCATCAGGTCTTGTTACAGAAAGCGGGTCTGGAGAGGCTGATCCAAGGCTGCCGCCAGTCTGGGGGAAGTCTCGGGTGGAGAAGGGGATGGTTTGATGCTCAGACCTTTCAGCAGGGAAATATGACACCAAAATATTCGCATTCTGAGGTGAAAATAATCTAGTCAGGTCGTAAGCTTTGCAAGTGCTTGTTATTTTTTGTGTTCGTTATCATCTCGTATTCTCTACTTTAATAAATTAAAATAGAAAGGCCTTGGGCTGTTCCTTCCATCTTCCATACAAACTACTGCATTTACCCTGTGCTTGTTACAAGTATTTTGGGATCTGTTATATGAAAACTCTGCCATACCTCAAAGCTATTGTGCTGTACTTCTGTTTGGAAAATGCTTTCCAAGGAGCGATCAAAGGCTGTGGCTTGACTTCTTGGTCTTGCACATAAGTAGGTGTGAAGGCCTAAAATACTGCTGTGTTGCTCCACAGATAATAAATAGGAGTTTTCATACTGGTTTCTGGCAACCTGCACTTTGACCAATCTCACTCTTGTGCACGCTGAGAATCTTTTTGACAGCTAATGAGAATATTTCGTTTTTCTTCCAGGCTTTCCTTTCAGCGTGGCTCTCCTCTCAGTGGCAGGAGCTGCCTTTTGAAGCAGCACATTCATTCTCCCCTTCAAGCACCCATAAGTCTCATTTGCCAGCTCCAGAACCATGGCAACAGAAGAAAAGAAGCCTGATGCAGAATCCACCAAAACACAATCTACTCCTTCCTCCTCGACCAATCAGAGCAAGGTGTGCCCCCAAAAATACCCCTGTAAAAGCACTTGGAACTACCTGAACACTCAGCAGCCAGACCAGAATCAGGGATTTGAATTTTTCTGTAAATTAAGATCTTTACTATGTGGCTGCTTCTGCTGTCGTCTCGTGCTGAGGATTTTATGGGAAGAGTGGTGGAGTGCAGCTCTGCTCTGGTGCTAAGTGTTCTTTTATTAGTTTTGGGGAAGTTCTCATTAGTGAAATACTTCTTGTCATTTTGATCATGAGGCATCATACAGGCTGTTTGTCTGTATCCCTGGAGGTGGCTGGAAAATTGGTGAATCTCTAGTTGTGGAGTGGGAAACAGTTATTCAGGTTCTTTGAAGCCTGGAGATGCTCAAAGGAGGTGTTACTGCCTAACCATGAAGCCTTTTCATAAGGTAAAAGTGGGATTTTAGGGGCATGGAGGAATTGGCCTGTGGTTTGATTAATGAAAATGCAAAACCTTGAAAGCACTGCACAGATCAATATCAAGGGTGCTACCTGGAAGTGCCAGGCACTTTGTGGTTGGGCTATTGGATTATTCTCACCTGTTGGTTACTGACTTGGATGGAATTTACCTCAGGGGTGACTTGATGTTGTGCTTGGAACAGTGAGGCCCCAGACTGAAAGGGTGTTTGGTTCTTTTTGAATTTGGAGGGGAATGGGAATGTGATTTGCCATTAAATGTGATTTAATGCTGGAGTCTGTTATGGTGAGCATCCACACGGTGCATTCCTCTGTGCTGGTTGGAGCTGGCCACTAAGTTTGGAATTTAACTCATTCACGCATATTTTTCTTACAGCCTGCCCCAGTAAAGCCAAACTATGCTCTCAAGTTCACGTTAGCAGGGCACACAAAGGCAGTGTCATCAGTCAAGTTTAGTCCTAATGGAGAGTGGCTTGCCAGCTCCTGTAAGTATTGCTTGCTTTTGTCTCATTTCAAACACAAATGTGGGCTTTGAAGAAGGGCTTGTCTGCAGTCTCCATTAGGGACGAGGGATGCCCTGTCATGACATGGTTTTTCTTGAAAGAGTGATACTAAAGCTGTCACTCTTTGAGATCATTTGACTGAAGTTCTGTTACTTTGACTACTGGGTCTTTGCATTGCCAGGTGAGCCCTCACCTGTTCAGCTTTCCTGACTGAGCGAAAACCAGCACAGGATTCTTTTCTGTGCAGAGAAAACCCTTGTGCTTTTCTGTACTAGAAGTTCAAGCTTTTAAATTAAACTTTGTGCACAGTAACTGCAGGCAAAACTTTCCTGTGGGAAATAAGGCAGGAGCTGCAGAGCTGGATGCACATGCTCTGTCCTGTGCTGCTTGGCAGAGGCTTTGATTGCCCCAGTGAAGTGCAGAAGGTTCTTAGAAATAGTTTTTCACTGCTTGCTCTCTTAAGTGATAGAACAAGTCTCCTTTCTGTCAGCTTTGGTATTTCCTAAGGGTTTCTTTAGTGTTCAGCACTGCTTGACAGCTTTGCCTTGAAAATGTGCTTCTGTGACTGTCAGTGATCCAGAGAGAATCCATGTGTAAGGAAAGGGCAGTTGGAAATGTTGAATATGACAGTGAGGGTCACTGGAACATCTTCCAGACATGGGAATGACTGGGGGCTTTGACTTAACTGCAAACAACCTCAATAAAACCAGTGCACTGTGCCATATAAATCATCCTTACAGTGTCCCCATCAGAGTCCCCCTCCCCTTTCCCCTGAAAATGTTTTCCAAACTCTGTATCTGGCAAATAGCAACTTTTTTCTCTGGCTTGTTTTGCAAGTTACCATGGATAATATGTTTGGGTTTCTGCAGGCATCCATTCAGTCCAGCTTGTGGTGTAATTATTGTTCTTTTTGGGGCAAAAGCCTTTCAAGCATTCCCGTGGACCAGCACTACTTTTACCACTGGCAGTCTAAAACAAAAGTAGAAACCCAAGTTGTCAAGAGAGAAACTAAAGCTGCTGGAGTCTCTCTGCATTCCAGGCAGCTTATGTAACCTCAGCTGCTGCAGAGTGCTGTGTAGGAAGCTGTTCTTCACCAGTTCAATATCACCTCCTTCCCTGAGGTCTGCCTGGGGAGGGAGAACTGCCCAGAGACAGAGTTCACTTATTTCCTTTCTCCTGGAAGGGACAGCTCTGGTAGTGCTGTTAATTCACCTCTGAACTGGCACATTCTTTTCCAGCTGCTGACAAACTCATTAAAATTTGGGGAGCGTATGATGGCAAGTTTGAAAAAACAATATCTGGTCATAAGCTGGTAAGTATGAGGTGATTACTGTGGGAATTTACCTGGGAAGGATTTTGCTTTCTTTTCCTCATTCAGACATTTCCATTCTTGGTTAGTTCTGCCTGTGTAGAAGGCAGAACTAACAGTCTGCTTTCTAGTCTTCAGTCTTGCTTTGTAGTTTTTTGTTTATATAGTCTTGGAATTGCTGGAGTTACATTGGGGCAGGCTGGAAATATGGGTGGAGTGCAGGCTGCATTGCCAGTGCCCAGCCTGCTTCTCATGTCTCTGGATTTCAGGAGAACCCACCTCAAACACAGAGCAGAGCATTCCTGGGTAAAAATCCCTGTGAATACTAACACTGTGTCCCATTCCATCTTTCCTTTGTATAAGGAACAAAACACTTGCCTTTTAAGGAGATTGAATTTTTCTTGTGGGTTTGCCTACATAAACACAACACTTACTCATTCTGCAGAGTTCTTAAGAAAACACAAAACTTCCAAGCCCTTTGGTTTTCTTTTTTTTTTAAGTTTTTACATGCTGAAATTACATGAGCAAAAATGAAGATTTATCAAAAGAAAAACCACTAGAATCTTCTCCAGCCTCTGGGGACTTGGATTGTAAAGAGCAGCCATTTGCCATGAAGAAAAGCCATTTATTCAGATTTATGAGCATTGTATTTAGGAGTTCCAGCAAAGGGTTTTGGTGGCCACAGTAAGAACTGTGTGAACAAGCTACTGATGTTCTCAGAGTGTGTGGCTCAGCTTAAAATTAACTTGTGCCAGAGGAGCTCTTAACCCAGCAAAATCACTGAATTCCTGGCCCTCAGTGCTGAATTTTCATTCAGGCTTCAGCTG